ATCTATGTATAGAGACATTTCACAAAAATATAAAAAATGAGTACAGCATTTTCCCTATATTTATTCATTTTCCCGGCAGTGTGTTAAAAAGAAAAACACATTTTCCCGCCAATTCAAGGAATGAGGACATCAGGATTGGTCACTAGGGCCTACTGATAGACTCCTTGCCAGCTGAGCACATGTGAGCCATCTGTATTGGGGGGAAAAAGAAAAAAGGAAAAAGAAAAAAAAAAAAAGAAAGAAAAAGAAAAAAAAAAAAAAAATATATATATACATATATACATATATACATATATATATATATATATATATATATATATATATATATATATATATATATATATATATATATATATATATATATCACAAAACTACAGGAGACAGAACATAAATCCATGGTGGTTGGGTTAAAGTTACTGGTCTGTACTATAATCATAAGCCCTAATGTGAAATTGATCTCAGATGTAAAGGTAAATTTAAAAGGAATTGTGAACTAGGTATTGAGCCATTGCTTGTTGCCATGGTAGTTAGATTAATAGTGGTAGTGGGAGTCTAATTCATACATATATTACATCTATATTCTTAGGCTTTTCAGAGGCATGCTTTATCTTTCTTTCTATTTATTTTTGTACTTTTTCTAGTAATTCATGTTTGAGATCCAATGAAAGTGGGGGAAATTCAAGATGCTGAATAGTAGTAGATAAAAAAAAATTACCATCATATCATCATATGAACAAGTTTGCACACACACGCACACACACACACACACACACACACACACACACACACACACACACACACACACACACACACACACACACACACACACACACACACACACACACACACACACAGACTCACTGACTCATTCATATCTCTCGGTCTGTCTGTCTGTCTGTCTGTCTCTCTATTTCTATCTCTGTCTCTACCTCTCATTCTCTCTTTTCAACCCCCTCCTACCTCCCAACCTGCCTACCTGTCAGCCTATCTCTGTATTCTCTATCTCTCTAATAATATTGCCTTTTCCCTCTTCCCCTCCCCTCTTAATTAAAATTGAATTCTACTGCAACTCCTCTATTTCTATATCGCTTAAAGTCACTTATTTGAATATTTGAAGCTACAGCCAGAATAAATACATATACTTTACTAAACCCTATCATAAAAGCATTATATGGTTAATCTTTACTGTTTGGACTCACTAAGCTAGGTAATGCCACAATAGGTGATTAGTGAAAATTATCACAGAAAGTCCGCTCAATGCTCTCCAATTTCAGCTCTTTCTTGCCATGCATACTGAGGTGAAGATAATGTTTACACAAGGGGGTATCAGGTAGTCTGTGTGTACCTGTACTGTAAAGAATTACCAAATACATTATACATATGTGAATTTTACACTTAAATTACTATTTGCTTTTACCATATGAACAAATTTCTCAAGTTTGCTTTTTTTTCTTCTTTAAAAATACATATCACTAACATGCACACCTATCACTTTAAGGCGAGATTTTCATCACACTTAAAGTAGCCATGTAGCACACCCTTTTTCCTTGGTAAAAATAAATACCCTTTCAGTTCAATTCTTTTCCTTTCATGTGAGATTTCAGACAAGCAAAACTGTTCTTAATCAAATTAAATAAAAGTGTTCATGCTAGTCTAAATCAGAGTATGCAGCTTCAAGTTTGTCTGAAAATATGTAGCTGGCATTTTGAGTGAGCAGCTGATATCTCAGGTGCTTATCATAAGGTTTCTGGTCTGATTACTGAAGGTGTGTAGCCCACACTAACAGCTTGGGTTATTAATCATGTAACAATAAGAGTCACCATAGGGACTTAGAACAATTGGTTAGTTTATCTTGTTCTAGCTAATTCTTTTATTACCCTGCTGAGCAAAGCTACAAACCCTCCACTGAATTTTAGCCTGTAAATTGAGCCGGACATCTGAAGATGACAGATATACTGAGCTGCATATTAACAATTCCCACCAAGTCAGACTAAAATCAAATGTACCTCAAGCATGATAGTCTTTTATTTAATATAGTTTCTTCCTCTCTCACTCACAGACAGACTGACAGATGGACGGACAGACAGACAGACAGACAGATAGATGGATACACACACACATACTCACAAACACAGAAACTTAAAATGGAAGAATCGATGAAGCCTCATTTCATGGTAAATAAGGGAAAATCTCTCTCTCTCTCTCTCTCTCTCTCTCTCTCTCTCTCTCTCTCTCTCTCTCTCTCTCTCTCTCTCTCTCTCTCTCTCTCTCTCTCTCTCTCTCTCTCTCTCTCGTCCCTGGTGGAGGAATAAGGGGTAAAGGTCGAAGTAAAGGATTGGGGGATATGGAGGCCAAGGGTAGGACCACAGAGGGGAAACTGTGACACAGAACTACTGGTCCATTAAATTGGACAAACTGTTTATTTTGTCCATCTTGTCCTCCTTCGCAGCCAGGTGAACATGACGATATGACATCACAATAGCATTTGTATGTAACCAATGACAGTTCCCTGCAACTCTCACTGATAATAGTAGGATAATTTTATGGCCCTTTATTATTGTTCTGAAAGGGTATTTTTGTGTCTGTCAGTTGCAAGTAACTTACTTATGCATTCCTTCTATGAATACATGGAAGACTCATTAGACTGCATTAGACAATATAATTGATTTGGTACTGTGAATACAGCAGAATTTGAGAATTACACAATTTTCACACACAATTGGAACTCCTAGAAAAATAGTCAACAGACATTGCATTATAATACTGTAAACTTAGCCACAGCCTTAAAATAAAGACACCAGTATGATAAAACAGTGAATGTTGCTTTTGAGCTAGTTGCACTGGGGCAATGAAGGCTTTGGAGGGTTCTTCCTGCTGATCCTGACGAGAGTTTGGACGAGCAAGACAAGGAGTTCTGAACACAGCATAAATAAACCTCCCTCCTAATTTAGCATCAGTAAAGGAGCAAAACCTCAAGTTCTCTCCCTCTCCTGACAGAATACATTTGATACAATATATTGAAATTTTCAGAATTAGGGGTCGTGCGACAGACCATCGGCCTATCTTGCACTCGACTTTGGATTCCTGGCCTCAGTGCAGATCAGAGGGAGATTTAGACGGGTCAAAGTCACTAGAATTATAAGAAGGTTCACATTCTGAAGGTCATTTGAGGGTCCTCTAGACGGTCACTAAACATTCCAAGCTATGCCAGTTGATCAAACAATGAGGTCTTTAATAAACGTCTCATATAAATAAACTTAACTAAAACTTGATATTATCTAAAATGAATTATCAACTCTTCATTTACACAACACTTACCAGCACCTGTATGCGTTGATTTTACTACTGTACAGTTCTGCGCGTCCTTAAAACACCACACTAACTGTTACACGTGACGTTGTTCATTCTACCTCTCGTTTCAGTAAAAAGTAAAAAAGTAAACAGTCACTCAAGAGTAAACAGTCCCTCTAGCCTTCAGGATGAAACTTGTTCTGTTGTGGAAGATGAAATTTCGCGCGTCTATAGATCTCTGAAAAACAAAAGAGCCTCGGAAAATGTTGCCTGTGAATTAGGATCGATTTCCTGTTCCAGCGGGGTGATTTCTTGTATCTGTTTTTGTTTTTGTTTTGTCTTTTGAGCGTCGTAATTACTTTCTTGGATTTATGTTTGGTTAGATTTAAGAATACTGGAGAATGAGTAAGTTATTGTGGACAGAATACAAAGGATTCAGTCTTAAGATTCAAATATGTGTAGGTTTCGAAAGCCTCTGAGGGTCCATTTTCGTCACTTATTGTGGCAGGGGAAAATTGCAAATTCCCCTAGGAGTGATTCCAACAGTTGTGTTCCCTGTTTCGCAATAAGTTTGCGATGAAAGTTTTGAAAAGCATTGTTCTTAGGATAACCGTATTCACACTTCAGTTTCAGTGATAAGTCTATACTGAAATGAGAAAAGTCAGTAAGAGTTAACTTTTTCCTCCTTTTATATATATATATATATATATATATATATATATATATATATATATATATATATATATATATATATATATATATATATATATATATATATATATATATATATATATATATATATGTATATATATATATATATATATATACATATATATATATGTGTGTGTGTGTGTGTGTGTGTGTGTGTGTGTGTGTGTGTGTGTGTGTGTGTGTGTGTGTGTGTGTGTGTGTGTGTGTGTGTGTGCGTGCGTGCGTGCGTGTGCGTGCATGCATATATGCATATTTATGCATATATATATGCGTGTATATATAAAAGATATAATGATATATATGTTTGTGTGTGTGTACATATATATATATACATATATATATATATATATATATATAAATGTATATACATATATACATGTATATATATATACATATACATATGTACACATATGAATATGTATGTATATGTATATATACATATATGTGTATAAAAAACATTTATGTACACATATATATGTATACACACATACACACACATACGTATATATATATATATATATATATATATATATATATGTATGTATGTATGTATGTATATGTGTGTATGTATGTATATATGTATATAGACTTGTAGGCATGTATGCGTGTATGTATGTATGTATGTATGTATGTGTGTATGTATGTATATATGTATATAGACTTGTAGGCATGTATGCGTGTATGTATGTATGTATGTATGTATGTGTGTATGTATGTATATATGTATATAGACTTGTAGGCATGTATGCGTGTATGTATGTATGTATGTATGTATGTATGCATGTATGTATGTATGTATGTATGTATGCATGTATGTATGTATGTATATATGTATATATATATGTATGTATGCATGTATATATGTATGTATATGCGTGATTCACGCGTTATTAGCACTACTAGCTTGGAATAAATAGCACCCAGAGGTCTTAGCTCCTCCTAGGGGAAAAAGCGCCGCGGTGCGGGGGAGAAAGGGTGCTGCGGGGAAGGAACCGGAGTTGCCGCATGCCACTTCGGTCACGTCAGTCTGCTTCCTAAACTGTGAGGATGAGGTGGTGTCGCGCTCTTTAAAGACTGATATGTAAATAAAGTGGAAAAAAAAGTTCAGGATGGAAAGCAACAGTCTTTGCAACAGCCTACTGAAATGGGTAAGTCACAAAGTGTGCTTGTTGGATGTCGTATCCGTAACTTTTGAGGTAAACTTAGGAGAATGTTTCAAATATGTTTTGGGTTTGTTTACGATTGCGAGTCAGCGGTGCACAGAACCTCGCAGAATTATTATTTTAAGGGATATATTGCATTTTACAGTTGCTTGAGCCATTAAAAATCAAGCGAATTTGCAATCTCTGTTGAAAATATAAGAAGTGTATTTTATTTGGCCAGAGTTTTGATACTGAGCCCAAGGTAGCCAGCAGAAGACGGAAGATTTTTCCTATTTTTCATATAAAATCACTTTAGGTCAACAGAGGATTTTAATTGTTAGGTTTTCTGTGTTGATTTATTAATTTCGTTTGTGAATCAAATTGACAAAGTGTTTGAAGCAAGTCAGTAGTAGGGCCTAATTTCTATACCGAGCAGCAAAATCAAGGCCATTCAGGAGTCTGCATTTGAGAAAATATAGATGCATTAAAGAATAGAATAATAAATATAATTTACGTACTATTATTTATTCGAGAATAAACTAAAGTCTGCTTATGTGTAAATATCCAAGTAATCAAAAGTAAGAGATAATATGGTTTCTATCTTTTGTCTAAAGAATATTTGTTGTTAGGAAGTTCTCTTTAGCTCATTCTTTTAAGGTAGGTTAATTTTATATAAAAAAATTAATCTTGGCCAAAATCACATGTGTAACACTAGCGCATAGCGTGGTACAGCTAAGTCAGCTCTTCATGCTGTGAGACTGAGATGCGTTTGTAATTCATGTGCGCTAAGATATTTATTAGAAAGGTTGCCAAACGTTAAGGAAACATAAATCTTCACTGCAATTCAACTGTAAATTAGAAGTAAAATATTAATTTTAACTTAATCAGCAAATGTTATGTGCATATGTATACTATTTTTTTCTGCGATTATATCAGTACGGGGAGTATTATCATTAACTGAGAGAAAATGCTCGTTGGAAGAGATTCATTCTAAGTAATTGGCTTAGAATATGATTTCTGAGATTTCTCCTTAAAATTTTGGTAAGATGCAATGTTTAAACAATTTTCAATAAACATGTTAGGGGAAATTTATTAGTTAGAAATTTATTTGTTAGTCTTTTTTCAGTATTATAATAATGCCTTTATCATAGGGACAGAGAATACAATCTCTCTCTCTCTCTCTCTCTCTCTCTCTCTCTCTCTCTCTCTCTCTCTCTCTCTCTCTCTCTCTCTCTCTCTCTCTCTCTCTCTCTCTTTCTCTCTCTTCTCTTTCTCTCTCTCTCTCTCTCTCTCTCTCTCCCCTCTCCCTCTCTCCTCTCTCCCTCTCTCCCCTCTCTCCCCTCTCCCCTCTCCTCTCTCTCCCCTCTCCCTCCTCTCCTCTCCTCCCCTCTCCCTCCCTCCCTTCCTTCCTTCCTTTGCCTCACTCCCATACTTCTATTCCCTCCCTTCTTTCTCCTCCCTCCCTCCCTTCCTTCTCCTCACTCCCATACTTCTATTCCCTCCCTTTCTTCTATTCCCTCCCTTTCTTCTATTCCCTCCCTTCCTTCTGCTCCCTCCCTCACTCCCTCCTTCATTGTGGAATCAGCAATTCAAAGCAACAATGGATAACAATCTCAAAGGGCCTGGCAACGCATTGAGTATGAGGGAAGCATTCTCTGTATTTTACTGATCTGCAAACTGTCTACACTAAGATATATAATCATACTGGACCAAGCATAGATTTCAGTTCAGTTCCTGTAAACCTGCTAATCTGTATGAGGTTATCTTCTTTGGTCTTTATATCTTGTATTTTGACATTTGTTGGGGTGAATAGTTCAGTACTGCCTGTTCTCTGCGATCTGTAAGTATAATTATATGCTAAATACATGCAGTATAAATGTTTAGGATAAATAACAATATGGGAAGACATTTACAAAGGCAGAAGGTACTGTGTATGGAAATGGTGATCAAAAGAAAGGCTGCTGTCTAACTGTAAAATAGTATGCAGTGATGAACATGTCAGTATTCGGCTAAATATGACTCGGTTGGCTGTAAATATCCTTCTAGAATTGCAGTGGAAACCTATAACATGCAGAGTTTGTGGGGATTTATATGTAGACTTAAGAGACATTACATTACCTTGAGTTTTCGGAATAGGAAAGTCTGATTATATAGTTGTTTTTTGGTACCTGCAGTGGCATGTAAAGTACTCTTATATTTGCTTTTGCTTGTATTTGTTTCCACTTATAGTAATACTAAAGCTTTAGATTATTGTGTTTTCTCTTTATTGCGTTCTGTCTGTGAGGGAATGACTGCACTGTTGCACAATGCCTGCAGTTTGATTGCATTTTTGCAAGTGTATTATTTCAAGAATATGCAGTAAATCGATAGGCTGATAGGCTCTCACCGTAATATATAGTTACCTGCTCCTTAAAGAATGTTGTCTGTGTAGTATCAAGTAGTATTAAGCGTACCTGGCATCTTTGAAACATGTATTGTGTAAGATGTTTACGAAGTGTTAAATGAGGGTACGCCTTGTGTTGTCTACCTGCCGTTGATGACAGTCTAAAAGCGCTGAGCTTTGCAGTGTCACGTGTTGGCTACACATGCTTCTTCATTTTTTTCTTTTTTTACTCTTTTGCGCATATTTGTTTGTCTACGTTTCGTAGGCCCGCTGTGCTTTGCCCAGTCGATGCCGTCACAGGTGCGAGGGGCGTGAAGGACACCGGTAATTGTAGTGTCTTGCAGCGGCGTCTGGAGTTGGACCGCAGAAGGGGGAAGGGGGCGAACGGGGGGAGGGGGACGGGGCGGGATGTTGTTGTGGAGGATCATCCACGCTTCTCTGTGTTTCTGTTGCTGTGTTAGGGTTTCTCTTTGTCGCGTCTTGTTTTTTTCTTTTGGTCTGTAAATGATACCGGAATACAAACCTAGAGAGAGATTGCTTAAGGGGAGGCGCTAGTGTATTCGTGACAACAGGAGAGGGGATGAAGTTGAAGAAGTTGTTAAGAAAAAAGGGTGTTGAAGAAAAATGAAGGGAAATGAGTGAGTGAGTGAGTGAGTACAAGAACGAGGGGAAGGGAGAAAGAGTTGGGACTTCGAGAATGATAGACCGGGAGGAGAGTGACTTTTCTCTTTTGTCTTTTGAAGTATTTTTGAGAAGACGAAACCCATATAACTATTTTCAAAAGTACGTGTTTAAGGTTAGACCAGGCAGAGAAATAGGGGGTCCCTTTTGTAACTTGATAAGTAAGGTAATCAGGTGAACAGATCGGCTGCTTCAGGAATGGTGATAAGCTGATAAGATTATTGCTGCCAGGAAGTAGTGAATGTTACTGATCTTGCTGCGGTGAAACCTGAGTAAACATGTTCCGATTTTCATTGTCGTTCGTTCTCTCTCTCTCTCTCCCACCTTCCTGAGAACCTCTTGAAAGGAGCTCTTTAACATTACACGTGGCCGAGGGCGCTACTGAGGCGTCTGTAATTTGCGTAGGACTGTTTAACCAATATTTTATTTCTCACGTAACCTTTTGGGGGGTTGTTATACCAAAGAGGAAAGGTATTGGGCTGTCTGTATCGTTGCTTTGGGACACTGCGGTCGAGGTAGGTGTTATTTACGTCAAACATGGGTAAAGTAGTAGGGGGTAAAACGGTGTATTATATTTGTAGTTTACCGGATATGGTAATGGGAGTGGGTAAGGAGGGGGAGGGGGGGGAGGGGTTGAGGCCTGGCATTTCGGCGGTGTTGGGGGCTCGCTTCTCTGAGTCGCGGTTCAGAATCCTGGGAGAGCTTCTTTTGGCTTCCTTCCCTTTGAGTTTCCAGTTATCGTCGGTTGAAAGGCGATTCTCTGGGATGAAATCAACGAAAGGCTGCCTCGGGACCTTGTTGTTGTTGTTGTTGTTTTTTCCCCTTGTGTTTTATTGAAGCGATGCGACACTCTCCCTCTGACGCGGGTGGGGTGGGGTGGGGTGGAGGGGGGAGTGCGGCACCGGAAACCCTTTGTAGAGAATACGTTTTTTTTTTCTCCCATTTACGAGGGGACTTTGTGAATGGGTGGAGTCGTGTGCATGGGGAAGCCATACACACACAGAGTTCGTGCTTGTGAAAAAGACACGTGGAAGCACTTTGAGCATTGTGGTGAGAAGATGCTGATTGGTTTGCTTGGTTTCGTTCTGCAATTGCATTAGGACATAACGTTGATACAGATTCTCACCCTTTCATATTTTCTCTAATGTTGTTGTTTTCCTTTCCCAGCTGGAGACGTTCCCGGGTCGCGAGGGAACCTCTGTGCCTCAGCTGACCGATGGCGTCGTCATGGCAACCGTCCTTCACCAGATGTGAGTACTCTCCCGCCGGTTCTCGGGGTCTGCCTCTATCTCCTCTTCTTTCTCCCTTTTCTTCATGTCCCTATTGTTTTCCGTCTACTGTCCCTTCTCCATTTTGTCCCTCATCTCCCCTTCCTCCTCCCCTCCTCATCTTTCTCTCCTTCCTCCCCCCCTTCTCTTCGTCCCCTTCTCCTCCCTCTTCTCTTCGTCCCCTTCTCCTCCCTCTTCTCTTCGTCCCCCTCTCCCCCTTCTCTTCCTCCCCTTCTCCTCTGTCTCCTCCCACTTCTCCTCCGTCTCCTCCCACTTCTCCTCCCCCTCTCCCTCCCCCTCCTCTTCTTCCTCCTCTTCTTCCTCCTTCTCCCTCTTCTTCCTCCTCCCTCTTCTTCTTCTTCCTCCTCTTCTTCTTCCTCCTCTTCCTCCTCCTCTTCCTCCTCCTCTTCTTCCTCCTCTTCCTCCTCCTCCTCCTCCTCCTCCTCCTCCTCCTCCTCCTCCTCCTCCTCCTCCTCCTCCTCCTCCTCCTCCTCCTCCTCCTCCTCCACTTCCTCCACTTCCTCCACTTCCTCCTCCTCCTCCTTCTCCTCCTTCTCCTCCTCCTCTTCCACTTCCTCCCCCCTCCCGTCCCCTCCTCCTCGTCCTCCTCGTCTTCCTCCCTCTCTTCCTCCTTTTTTTCTCCCACTCTTCTCTCCCTCCTCTCTTATTTTCAGTGCATCTCGCGTATGAATGTGTGAGAGTTTCCGTAAATGTGTTCAAGCGAAGGGATCGGTGGAGTTTCTTCTTTCTGTTGCCGGAGACGCTTAGAGTTACCTTCGCCGTTCGATTTCCTTATCTCACAGCGCCACCGCGTTATCAGCGTAATACCGATATGACTCATACACGGGTCGCTACACCGTTATTTTGTAGAAGAAATTGTGTGCCGGCATTTGTTTGTTCGTGTGTTCCGGCGAGAGGATTTGTGGCCGCGGCCCGATCAGGTGTTGATGCCAACGTCTGCGACAAGATGCTGGCATCCGCAGCTGACGATCGGCAGGTGACGTCGCAGGGCCATCGGCGGGTGACGGTAGTCGGCCCGGTGGACACAGCGGGTTGACGTGGAGATGTATGCTTCGGCGGCGTCAGACTGGGGAATAGAACGCGGTGTGAGTGAATGTCACAGGGTTAGTCAAGGAAGACCGCGTGTCTAGCGGAGAGGTCGCTTCTCGGCCAACAGGTGACACGACCTGAGCAGCCGTAGAAGTGCCGGCGAGGTGGCACTCTGCTCGTTCAGCCTCGCCTGGCTGTCTTGTCTGAGAACAGCCAGCGAGATGCGTCACCTGCAGACGAGCTCAGCTGTCTCGGCAAAACCGGCTGCCTGAAGAACGCCTGCCCACGCTGCAGCCAGTGGCTTAGCACCTGGCCGAGGTGCTCACGGCGGGGCTTAAGTGCGTACTGCGGCGGGGAGTGAGGGGCGTAACGTAACACCTCGCCGTGCTGTTCCGCTCCCCGGCTTCCTCCGTTACCCGCCTGGTGTCACAGTTGCGGCGGGCGGGTGCGGCGTCAGCGGTGGCGTAGCATGTCCTTACCGCACGTCGTTAGTCATTGCACTTTTGCTCTTCCGCATGCTTCGTCCTCTCGTCACCGCCGCTGCGCTTTTGTTCCCGGCGCGCCTGCGGTTTTGCTGCAGTACTTCTCCGGCCGCGGGCAATTTGGCTTTTTTGCAGTCATTTGCTCGGGTGCGTATTCCGTGGCTGGTGTACTCACCCCTTGTATTTTTGCTTTTACGCGAATGGTTTCCCTATGTAATCGTTTTGTGTACTTGTGGATTTATTTACGATTTGCATTTACATGCCTCCATGTTTGTTTATTTTCCTCTCGTTCTTTCTGCACTTTAACACGGTATGTTGCAGCCCACACCTACTACATCTCTGATGCTGATGAAGTGGACAGGTGGGGGGGGGGGGGCTGCTCGTGATCTCGCTTCTTTGTGCATTATTATCGCCTTTCATTAAGCACCTTTCCGCCCATCCCGCCTTTAGGTGCGTATTGAACAGGTTGAGGAGGGGGGAGAAAGGAAGGAGGGAGGAGAGGGAGAGTGGGCGACGAAAGAGAGGGAGAGGGGGCGAGGAAAGAGAGGGAGAGGAAAGAGAGGGAGAGGAAAGAGAGGGAGAGGAAAGAGAGGGAGAGGAAAGAGAGGGAGAGGGGGCGAGGAAAGAGAGGGAGAGGGGGCGAGGAAAGAGAGGGAGAGGGGGCGAGGAAAGAGAGGGAGAGGGGGCGAGGAAAGAGAGGGAGAGGGGGCGAGGAAAGAGAGGGAGAGGGGGCGAGGAAAGAGAGGGAGAGGGGGCGAGGAAAGAGAGGGAGAGGGGGCGAGGAAAGAGAGGGAGAGGGAGAGGGAGAGAGAGGGGGAGAGAGAGGGAGAGAGAGAGGGAGAGGGGGAGAGAGAGGGAGAGGGAGAGAGAGGGAGAGAGAGAGAGAGAGATAGAGATAGAGATAGAGATAGAGATAGAGATAGAGATAGAGAGAGGGGGGGAATGAGAGAGAAAGGTGAAGGTATGGAAGAGGAGGAGGGAGAAAGTGAGAGAAGACAGGGTCGGGGAGAGAAGAGAAAAGTGGGAAAAATAAGGAATGGGGGGTTGGTGGGGGGAGGGCAGAAAAAACAAAAGTAAAGGTAAAATGATTGTGAAAAGGAGAAAAAAATAATAATATAAATAATAGCAATAATTATGATCACATTATAAAGATGACTATAATGATAATGATAGTAATAATAAAAAAAATACAGCGACGGTGACAGTGAAGATAATGATAATACAGCAATGGTGAGAATTATGATAATGATAATGTGGAAAATAATAACTAACAGGAGAAAGCAAGCAGATTCTGCTAATTGTCATTGCAGATCCCGACCAGCCTTCTCCCTTCCTCCCTCTCTCTCTCTCTCTCTCTCTCTCTCTCTCTCTCTCTCTCTCTCTCTCTCTCTCTCTCTCTCTCTCTCTCTCTCTCTCTCTCTCTCTCTCTCTATCTCTATCTCTCTCTCTCCTCTCCCTCTCCCTCTCCCTCTCCCTCTCCCTCTCCCTCTCC